CGAAAATGGTCATTATTTACACTAAGAATGGGTAGTTATATGTGACGTGGATGAGGGGGGAACGAAGAGATAGGATGAGGGTTGGGGGGAGGGGGGGAACTGTCATAAAGTTCGTGTGACGTAATTACCATATCGAATATAATTGGTCATTGTTTATAATAAATAAAAGCCTACGAAGTAATTTTTCAATTATTGTAATAATTTAACCTTGTATTTCAAAACAGCTTCACACAAATGGATAAAACTGTTCAACAGCCAAATTCAACAGTTAAATTATAATTATACAAATTTCTATAGAAAATAGGATAGTATAGAATAATTAATTAGAATTTATATTTCTTTATTATTAAAATAAACTTAATAATATTAACATATAAATTTAAGTTTATTGTTAAAGACTATTTATTTGATTCCCTTCGTTTCGTTGCTGAACGTGTTGAATGATATGAACAAACAACAAATTAAATTAAATTTACATTAAACAATAAATATTTATATAGCAATACAACTAGTATAAATTATTAATTAATATATAACCTAATTTTATATTTAGATTGAAATAATTGAAATCAATTTATTTGACTTTATTCGTGTTTGTTAAACAGTTTTGAACTAAACTATGGTGAGAATTACGCAATATTATATATTTTTTTATTTAAATAATAAAGCACAAGAATTTTGTTAATGTATATTCATGAATAATGGAAACGGACGTAGTAATACATATCATACATATAAATCAACTCCGGAATCATAGTATCCATATTAGAAATTCTTTTAGGTACTATTTTTGAAGGTTATTATTTCAAAGTAACCTAGGTTACATATATTCGTATACAAAACTCGGAAAGTTATTACCACCCGAATAAAGTCGGGTCAGACATCTAGTGATGACAATAAATTGATTTTAAATAACATCTTAATTTAAAAAAATATCAATTTCCAATCATTGATGTATTATGTATTAATGTAGTAGAGAAGACGCTGTATACCACATGCACTATTTATTTGTACAAACAAAAAGTAATCAGAAATATTTATGTACCTAAATTAATATTCTTTGTCGATAATATATTTATATAAAAATTACTTTACTACTTTTACCCCCTTAGTTATCCCCGGCGATATTATAAATCACCCGTTAATTGCTCGGGGCCACCCGACACTTTTCTATCGAAAGCTACATCTCATCGGCAAGTAAAATAGACAACACTTTTCTTTAGACAACATTGTCCAAAAAATTAGGAAACTCTTACATTAATTAATTGTAAACGTTACTTCTAACTACATGCAGTCGGCCCGGACTCAATTGCGGCGCGAACACCGCAATCGTCATACCAGTGGTCACGTTACACCCGTCTCATCTAGTACATTACTACATAATACCTCGATGTTTACAGCATATATTATTATAAATATTAACACTATTATAGCGTAAAGGCTTTGTGATTAGGCACATCGAATGTTTACAATCTAAAACTAATGGAACGTGGCGAATCAATGCCGTATGTGGGCATGCGATGCGATAATTGCGAAAAGATATAAGATAATTTCATTTGCTGATATATCTTACAAGTCTTACTACTAATATTATAAACGCGAAAGTTTGTGTGTATGAATGAATGTATGGATGTTTGTTACTCTTTCAAAAACTGTAAACTTTACAGTAATATAGCTTATACATCAGAATAACACATAGGTTATAATTTAAAAGTAAGTTTGTGAGTATGAATGGATGGAAGGATGTATGGATGTTTGTTACTCTTCAAAAAAAACTTTACAGTAATATAGCTAATACATCAGAATAACACATAGGTTATAATTTAAAAAGATATTCTGTCAATTGGGTGAAATATAATGTTAAATGTCAAGTAAATGCTGTAAGTGTGATGCAGACGAAGTTGGGCGTGTCAGCTAGTCATTAATACTATTTGTCTAATTCCACTATTACTAGAGGCCCTCCATAAATTAAATTACATTCAATTCTAGTAATTGTTATGATTTTTATAGTACAGGGGACAAACGAGCTTGCGGCTCACCTGATGGTAAGTGATACCGCCGCCATTGAGACCAACACCTATAGAATCTAAAATTAGTAATGGTCGAGACATTTGAGATCTTTTGTTATGGTAATTTCTTTATTGCTGTGATCATAAATCACATTAAATACAAAGGTATTGCGTCCTTTGTATTTAATGAACAAACTGTTAAAAACATCCGTGCACAAATGATTTCATTTGCATAAATTTATTATTGCTTCACCAAGACAAAAAAATCTCGTCAATGAAGCGGTATGACAAAGTCTACTGAATTAATTGAACTAATTCTAAATCTATATAGTTTATATTGATGGCCTCAGTGATCTAGCGGTTTAGCACACCGCTTTGCTTCCGATGGTCGCGAGTTCGATTCCTCGTACGGCACAAACATTTATATTCATGAGTATGATACTTTCTATCGGTCTGGGTGATTTCTATGTATAATAAGTGTGGAATTATGTATTTGTATCAGTTAACTAGTACCCATAACACAAGCTTTAGCGAGCTTAACTTAGGTCTAGATGGTGCTGTGTGAATTGTCCTCGATTATTATTATTATATACCCCGCTTATATAGAATAATTTGTATAATTGTCAACTACTGTGATTAAAAAATTTAAAACTGTTTAATATTATCATTACATAGTATAAAACAAAGTCGCTGTCTGTCCGTCCCTATGTATGTTTAAATCTTTAAAACTACGTTTTTTTTAATAGATAGAGTGATTCAAGAGGAAGGTTTGTATAATACATGTACACCCGTGCGAAGCCGGGGTGTGTAGCTAGTTACAAATATAGCATCGTTACGATATATCGCATTCGCGTCGCGTTGCCCACGTAGGAACTTAAACAACGCCATCTTGCTTTGAGCACTCGAATAAATATTTTAGAGACTTATTACATACAAAATTCAAATTTGAAATATCTTCATTCGTGTAGGTCTATTACAGACTCATGTCAAATATACCGTCAGTTCGGAGTGATTTCGAGATGAGAAGAACTGACAACAAACTCAGCTCGTATTCTTCACTACATATTATAAAACAAAGTCGCTGTCGCTGTCTGTCCGTCCCTATGTACGCTTAAATCTTTAAAGCTACACAACGGATTTTGAAGATGTTTTTTAATAGATAGAGTGATTCAAGAGGACTGTTTATATATTTATATAATAGATGTACAAATGTAGCTAGTTTCAAATAAATGTTGTACATGACTACAATTATCAATTATCAAATACATTGATTTCATAATGTCATCGAACAGTATATATAATCTAAAACATCGTGCATGACGAGGGACATATTGATTATATAAATATATTTGACGTATCTGACTTTCATAAGCGGCTAAAATGCCCTAAGGGACGTTCAAGTATTACATAAGCACTATTGGGGGGTTCTTTGCTTTGCTTATTTTGGATAACATGGGGGGTAGGGTAGTCTAGATGATGATTACGTAATCGGGAGTTCTTTTCGTTTTTTTCGCGAATGGCAACCCTCACATTGTCTTTGCAAAAAAAAAAACAATACGTTAACTGAAAAATGTTTACGTAAGCATGGGAGGAGAGGGTAAGAGCTTTGCTTACTTTTGCTGACAAGGGGGATGGGAAGGGGGGTAAATAATTGCAATATATGCTTACGTAATACTTGAACGGCCCCCTACACGAAGAAAATATTTTCGATTTGATTTGATCGTGTAATAAGGCTCTAATACAGACTCATACATTTACATCTCACAAGAGAAATCACGTGTTTCAATGGAGTTCATTGCTAACTTAATTTGTAACTCTAATACTGATAAATGGAAGTGAAAGCTTTATGCCCAATTTACACTCAGCCCGAGTGGGCAGGGAAGTGAGCAGCGCGAGAGTGTAAACACGAGTGGAAACACTTCCCATGCCATTGGCGCTGCCACTCGCGCTGCCCGGCGCTCCCTCGATTGTCGGTTTTTCGTGCGCGAGTCAAAGGACTGGCAGCGCGAGTGGCAGCGTATTTTTACATTCAGCCCTCTCGCTCAGTTGTCGACCGGCAATATTTCCGCCAGCGCGAGTGGCAGGGGAAGCGGCTGAATGTAAACGTAGCCCTTAGTAGTTAGACTATTTGGAAGTCAACGGGCTGTATTTGAGTTTGGAAAATCATTTGCTATGCTCATTGGAACATTTGTACCAATACTGGATGAATAACGCATTGTTTTTTTTAACACATTGATAGACAGTAGGTACAAGTGAAGTTTGAAAATGAACACTAATGTTTTTGTAATTAATAGAAAATTAGAAGTATTATTTTACTTTTTCTGCTTAAACAAACTTAATTTTAATACAATTCAAGTGGAAACACGCTCGCACTACCCCGTGCGCGACCACGTGCGTTCAGTACGCGATGCAACCTACATATATCTATTGTGCAGGTCCTTCAAAGTTCGCTAGACCCGTGAGGTACACGAATTGAAGGATATTCTTAGGAGCGATGGTTTTTTATCTCCTCAGGATAGAGTGTAATCTTTCCAAAGGAGATATTACGTTTATGCATAAGTGGGCTACAACCACATAGGATATGTAGTGGCGTTTCCTCTTCAGTTTGGCAAAATCTCCAGATTTTTCTAGACCCAGAAATATACCCAGAATAATAACATAACCAATAATTAAATATACATATTATTATTACTAAACCAAATATTTTCTGTAACTCATGTATACCATGTCTCTGTAATTGGTTTAAAAGAATTTATATATCTATCTATGAATATATTCCAATTAGATGCAAAATTCTCCAAACTCACATACAAAAAAATAACTATAAAATATGACACATATTTCTTAATACAAACTTATTTATTAAACCTACATCTTTATAACAATAATAATGGAATGCTTTTAAATACTTAATTAATTATATATTATAATGTCTTTTAAATTGAACTTAGCGTAATACAATGAGTAAATATATAAGAATCAAGCAATTAAGAATGTAGACAATGCTACCAAAACAGAAATAGGACCGTTTTGTTATTAAAAATACATTAATAGCCTGATCTAGTCGAGTCTATGGTTTTTAACACCTTTTTTCGCTGACAATAGACACGCCTGCTGGGCACTGATCTAAACCTCTAACCCCTGACAATAGGGTCAAGCTACTGAGTTATTTATCTAATACATAAGCCCGTAATACATTGTTATAAATGAGATTGATCTAGGGAGAGTGTACCCTCGGTGCGTCACCACCAAACTGAAAAGAGTCCCCCACGCTTTGAGGACTGCCCGCTTGCTGGGGTCGCGGTCGATAAAGAAAAGTGGGTGTGACCCTATTCCCTAACAATATACCCAATCAAGTCAATACAATCCTTGCAATGTCCCGTCCAATTCAAAAACGAATCGTAACTACGACGCTTGAGTTGGATTTCAAATCCCTAGCGATGCCTTCAGGCTAAAATCATATCCGTCAGGCAAGAGTTGGCTTTCAGCCACTCCATAATCCCTTTCGCGGGTTTGGAATGCCATCTGCACTCGATCGTTGAAGCTTTAAAGGCCAGCTGCGGTCAACAACGTTCGTAAAAGGTCCATTACTATGCGGTTCTAAAACCACTTCACTTACAGGGATAGATCTGTGCCCAGTTTCAAAAGATAATTTAGTACCGTTCATATAAGCTCAGTTATTCTTATCTTTGCTTCCCTTTTCATTAATAGACGCTCTCAGATTCAACGTGGACAACTGACTTACAGGCACTTCGGTGTTTGAGTAACTATTTGATCCCCTAACTGGTCCCCATCGGCTAAAATGTTTACTGCTAGCACCGTCTATCTCGCTATCATCGCTACATATTGTGCTCGAACTTTTCACCGTGCCGTACCTCTCGCCTTCTAACGATGGCATATCGATCATCATAGCTTCCATTGCTATATCCTGTTTCAGACTCTGCTGCGATATGCTCCTTTTCATCGTGGTCTCCGTGTTTATCTGTGCCATTAACTGTTCTGACATGCTTTGCCGGTAGTATTTCTTCTCTTTCTTCTGCGTTGTTCGATCCAACGTCATGGTCTCTTGCATCTCATTTGGCACGTCGTCCCCGTACGCCATGATCGGTGTTCTCCTCCCATCCGATCCGAAGACTGAGTAACCTGACACTTTCTCCGAAACCAGTTTCAGGTTCGATGTGGACCCGAATTTCTGGGCTTTAGTCAACTTGTCTCTTTTGAGTGGTTTCCCCCGTGGGGGGCTTGTACTTAGTCTCCTGTCCAGACTTGGAGTGTTTGAGTTGGAGAGGAAGTTTAGGCTAGTCCTGGATCTGGACAGCGAGCCCATGAAGGAGCTCCTCTGGTGGTAGCTGTTGAGGAAGTGTTGCAGGACGTTCTCCGGCCACGGCACGTTTAGATACGACTCCCTGTCCGGAATGGGTATTTGGAACTTTTTCTCGTGGTTATCGAGTTCCTCCTCGAAGTACTTTATTTGATTCTGTGTAGAAATGGTCGCGTTTAGTCGCGTTACTATCGGGACGACACAAACATATATCCACCGCCTTTTAGGTAATGGCAAACAAGCTGACGGCCAACCTGATGGTAAGTGGTAACCGTCGCCTATATACATGAACAGCACTACGGACATCACGTTATCATGACAGCCGTGGTACCACTCATGCGTTGCCATTGCCACGACTAAGATGCCTCTTATCCCGTAATTTTCCGTGAATTTGAGACGCGATGACAACACTTAGACTGGTTGAGAATGTCAATTTTGTAAGCCATTTTGAGGATACTTATTTCTTTGTCATATTTATTTTTTTTACCTAAAATTTACATTTTTGACAATGCGTAATATTTACTATATTTTTTAGGTAACTGAATGACCAAGCTGATGATAATTAACGAACCGCTATAACCGTTGTCTATATACTCGTGAACAGTCTCACAGATAACAGAAAATATATTGTCTATGGTACTGCTAATACGTTCCCAAGAAGTATATATATATATAGTATGCCTAATATTTCAATTTTTTTTAAATACAAGTTATTTTAATAAATATAAATTGAAATTATTTAAAATATATATTAACGTCCAATCATGGAATGTTCAAGGCGGTTTAGAAAATAAATTCTTTACACTCTATACATTACATTACTAGAATGTATAAATCATACTTGCGATTTGCACAACCAAAATTACTCGTATCTACTCACCTACCAAACAAATTTTGTTCCTCGTGTATATACGCAATCAGCAAGGTTGTTAAATGACTATGCAAGTCTGCAGTCCACTGAGTGCATGAGTTTTATTTTAAATGATGCCTCAAGCGTTATGTTAAGATATTAAGAACTGGACTGCACTTTATCCTACAGTATTTTTCCATTTCAGGCATTTTGGGAGATTGTTAATCCGTAACCTCTGAGCTATCATTAGGATTGACACTCAGCCAAATGGCAACCAAACAAAATGCCAATATAATATAAAGCCTAAAAGATGTCTCGCGTCTCAAAACCTATGTCTGTAAAGGAATGACTATCACCGGATGCTGTACAATATAATGTTCCATCGTTCCCATCACCTGATTAGTGTTACCAAGCGGCAATGTACATGCGTAACCCACATATAGTACTGGAGATAGGGTCCATTTAATTCATACAATATAAAATTAAAATATTGTTTAAACTAATATTGTAAAGAAAGACTTGATTATTTCTTTAAAATAGATTAAAATATTTGACAGACCATCAACATATAATGCACTTAGTCCATTTAGTTCACACAATTTAAAATTAAATTATACTAAAACCAATATTGTAAAGAACTTGAATATTTCATATATAAAAAATAGATATCCAAATATTTGACAGACCTCTAAAATATTGCATTCAACGCGCACGTATATGCCCACATGCATATTATATTGGTATGGTATTTGGGCGTCAAAAGGCTACGATAACCGTTTAAGAATGTAGTATAAAAAAAGTGAAATTATTAAACACTACATTAATACAAATCTCACAAAGTTATCAATAACTGGATTAAACAGGAATTGGCCTAGGACACAGCAACGAAACGAAATAATGACGACGCCCGTTGAACACGTAAATTAAATAAACACTAACTCCAGTACTACGTATACAAACATGCTTTACAATTTCAGATGCAATATTCATGCACATACCAATATATATTAAACTGTAAGACCCTTTAGACCCTTGCGATCTGTATTATAAGCTCTTAGACTTAGTTCAGACCCTAGACTTACGGATTTTCTGTAACGAGAACTAGGTCCATTTGTAATGAAGAATGATATGACCACCTCTTTGTATCCCCCTCAGAACCCTATCGTAGTCAAATTCTGGTATATCTGCTATGATGTGCTAACTGATCAGACTTCATGCTCATCCTACATCCTAACATCCTCCACTGGTGCCCCGCTAGTTTATATCAGGCGGATCCTTAAATATTTATTACTGATAAATGAGAACATAATGATTCTTGATTGTATTACTAACAAACTAAAACTCTTGATGATCAATTTCCACCCGCCCCTTCTATATTTAATTTGATTTTCAGAATTCCTCGTGTATTTCACCACGCTAGTTCACCTGACCTATCACCTATTACTTATACATATTACCAAAGAGGAATTTATTGAATAATCACAAGAGGTCGAAAGGTCCTATATGAATAAATGAGTTTTTTTAGAATCCCTGGTGTATTCATAATGAAAGTCCACCTGACCTACCACCTCTGTACTGGTGGGGCACCAGCGTATACTGTTACCGAAGAGGAATTCACCGAGTTATCACACCAAGTCGAAAAGTCCTACATGAGCAAATAATTCTGTCTTTAAGTTTGGAGTTCAAATAGACTCACCATCTTCCTCTGTCCGAGGGTCGCCCTCCACTCCTTCAGTTCGAGCGAGTACTTCTCCTCAACCGTCTTGATCTTGTTCGCCTCATGGTTCATGAGCGCCTTCCGTTTCTCATTCTGATATTGCTCCAGTTCACGTACTAAAGCCTGGCGATGTAAAAACATTATCTTAACATACTATAAAACAAAGTCGCCGCCGGTGTTTCTTCGCTTATATCTTTTAACTTACGCAACGGATTTTACTTCAGTTTTTAGCAATAGATAGAGTAATTCAACAGGAACATTCAAATGTGACATTACCAAAATTGCCAGGATTTTGGAATTTTAAATCGAATTGTGACACAATAGGAAATTAATATTAATTACCAATTTGATAGGTTACTCGGAAATTTTTTTTGAAAATCTGTTGTGGAGACGTCATGTAAAGCTTTAAAACTAATATGTTATAATAAAAAATTACGATTAAACAAATGGGTATTGCAGGTACAGCACTACCACACTACAACTGGTGGCAATATTTGAAAATTTTATGTGTGTTTATATTTATTAATTTTGTATGTTAAATGTACACCTGGCAATTTAGTCTCTGAGATTAAAAGACAGACTATAGTATTTATTTATTATCATATTATATACCTCTCCGGCTGCCTTCAGCTCCTCCCTGGCTTTCGCGTGCTTGGTGGCCAGTCTCTGTTGCTCCGCTCTGTATCTTTTCTTCTCATTCTCTTGGAACTATAACAATAATATATTTTTAATTGAAAATTCACGACTATGTACACAAATTATACATATATTATACACATATTTACTAATCTGCAGTAGCTGTTTAGGCTGTATATGATAATTCTGTTGCTATCTAAATATATATAACTCAAAGGTGACTAACATAGTGATCTATCAACACACAGCCCAAACCACTGGACGGATCGGGCGGAAATTTGGCATGCAGGTAGATGTTTTGACGTAGCCATCCGCTAAGGAAGGATCTTGATTAATTCTACCCCCAAGTGGATAAAATAGGTGATGAAAGTTTGTCAATTTTAAACCGATCGGGCTGAGATTTTGCATGCATAAATCTACTATGACGTAGGCATCCCCTAAGAAAGGATTTTGATAAATTCCACCCTTAAGGGGATAAATTAACGCGAGCGAAGCCGCGGGCAATAGCTAGTTTAGATATAAAAAGCAAATATGTTATATATTCTAGAATCAAATGTAATGGAAAATACATGGAAATTTAACTTTTAACTAAAGTATTTTCACTCTCATCAATTGCAATCTTATTCAGTAACTAAAAATAAAAAAGACAATTCCTAGCACAGATGTCACGGCCTCTAAATTAGTGACATTGTGTAAAAATGAATAAATATATTATTATATATATCTCCCTTTTTATGGGGGTAATATATTCAAACACGCGGGCCTTAGCCAAGCATAATAATAATGATAATAATAATAATAATCTTAGGACAATTCACACAGCGCCATCTACACCCAAGTTAAGCTAGCTAAAGCTTGTGTTATGGGTACTAGATAACTGATACAAATACATAGATATTTTTTTTTTTTTTTTGTAAATACATACATATTATATATAGAAAACACCCAGACCGATACAAACAATCATACTCATGAATACAAATGTTTGTGCCGTGCGAGGAATCGAACCCGCGACCATCGGTCGTAAAGCGGTGTACTAGACCGCTGGACCACCGAGGTCGTCAAGCATGGATGAGTTATGTGATGAAGATAGAATATAATATTATTATTATTATAATTACAATGTTCTAATATATACTAACTTTGCAACCACATCATGTAATGATGGAGAAAAAATATCTTTATTTTTATTCTATTTTAAATCGCCATAGACTATATACATGATTACCACCACTATGGTATAAAAAAACCTCATACCCTCTTCAGTTTCTCCCGGTCGTCGTCGTGCTGGCCAGGAATGGCGCTGATCCGCAGAGACTCTCTGAACATCATCTCCCTAGCTTTCTGCTCGGCTCGAATCCGCTTCGGTAACGATCGCTTCTCTAACGTTTGACACTTAGCCAATTCCTCTTCTTTGCGAGTGTTTTTTCTAAATAATTAATATTATTTAAATATAACAGGTGTTTATTGTAGCCCTGGTTTTCTTATCTAAATATATATAACTCAAAGGTGACTGACATAGTGATATATCAACGTACAGCCCAAACCACTGGATGGATCGGGCTGAAATTTGGCATGCAGGTAGATATCATGACGTAGGCATCCGCTAGAATTTTGATTATTTCTACCCCCAAGGGGTTAAAATAGGGGATGAAAGTTTGTATGAAACTTTGTCAATTTTAAACAGATCGGGATGAAACTTTGCATGCACAAAGCTACTATGACGTAGGCATCCCCAAAGAAAGGATTTTGATAAATTCCACCCTTAAGGGGATAAAATAACGCGAGCAAAGCCGCGGACAAAAGCTAGTCTATATATATAAATGAAATTGGAGTGTCTGTTTGTAATTATTAAACCGTTTTTTACTACATGCATATGAATGTAAATGCGGTACGTAACATCAAAATAACATTTTTTACAATTTTTGTCTGTCTGTCTGTCTGTTTGTTTCGGGTAATCTCTCTAATGGTTATACCGATTTTGATGGTACTTTTATTGGCAGGTAGCTGAAATAATAATAACTTAGGCTACTTTAATTTTAGAAAAACAAAGTAATATTGCAAAATTCTTGCGGACAAGGCCGCGGGCACAGCTAGTTAATATATAGGTTTTATCACTCAGGATAAACTCACCTTCTGATCTGCTCCAACTCCTTGTCGTGCCTGACCAGCATCTGGTGCCGCCGCAGCAGAAACTCATCCTTCAGCTGCCGCTTGGCGAGCTGATGCCTCTCGTGGATTTGCTTCTCTTCCAACTCCCAAAGTGCCGCTTCTCGAGTACGCATTATCTGTTGAGGACATACGTACAAACAATGAGTCTTAAAACTACTGTCAATTGTTGGTATCGATTTGGGTGTTTACTCATGAATACAAATGTGCGAGGAAACGAATCCTCGACCATCGGATGTAAACCGTGTGTTAGCTAAACCACTAGACCATCGAAGCCGTCATCGCCTGCCGCTCTCAGTGCGAGTCGTGCAGTCTCCGCAGCAGCGCGTGGCCGCCGTGTGTGTGTGTGTGTGTGTCTGTCTGTCTGTCTGTCCGTCCGTCCGTGTACGTGCCTGCTGCCGCTGCTGCAGGTACTGGCGGTCTGCGAGCGCCTGCCGCTCTCGATGTGAGTCGTGCAGTCTCCGCAGCAGCGCGTGGCCGCCGTGTGTGTGTGTGTCTGTCTGTCTGTCTGTCCGTCCGTCCATGTACGTGCCTGCTGCCGCTGCTGCAGGTACTGGCGGTCTGCGAGCGCCTGCCGCTCTCGATGTGAGTTGTGCAGTCTCCGCAGCAGCGCGTCGCCGCCGTGTGTGTGTGTGTCTGTCTGTCTGTCTGTCCGTCCGTCCGTGTACGTGCCTGCTGCCGCTGCTGCAGGTACTGGCGGTCTGCGAGCGCCTGCCGCTCTCGATGTGAGTCGTGCAGTCTCCGCAACAGCGCGTGGCCGCCGTGTGTGTGTGTGTGTGTCTGTCTGTCTGTCTGTCCGTCCGTCCGTGTACGTGCCTGCTGCCGCTGCTGCAGGTACTGGCGGTCTGCGAGCGCCTGCCGCTCTCGATGTGAGTCGTGCAGTCTCCGCAACAGCGCGTGGCCGCCGTGTGTGTGTGTGTGTCTGTCTGTCTGTCTGTCCGTCCGTGTACGTGCCTGCTGCCGCTGCTGCAGGTACTGGCGGTCTGCGAGCGCCTGCCGCTCTCGATGTGAGTCGTGCAGTCTCCGCAGCAGCGCATCGCCGCCGTCGGCCAGCGCGGCTACGAACGCTCGCTCTCTCTCCGCCTGTTCGGCGTCGAGGCGGGCTCGACGCTGACGGTACGCTTCCTTGCGCCGCTCCTTCGCCACCAGCTCCACCTCCTGAACACACAGACAATTTCACAATTATAATATATATTTTAAACCGATAAAAGACGGCGTCAATATCTTGGTGTTCACAATTGTATTATAAATACAAAAGTTGTAATCTGAAAGAAATTCAACACTAGTATCCGGCTCGAAGTATCAATGTTGGTCCTTTGAGCCGCATATACAGTGTAATAACATAGTTATTCCTCATTTTCTTCGGCTGTGAGGGTGGGAGCGTGCGGTACCTGCTTGAGCAGCCGCAGCTCCTGCTTGAGCGTGTCCCGGAAGTGTCGCAGGTCCCGCTCGTGGTCGGCCCGCAGCCTCTTGGCGGCGGCCCGCAGCTCTGCCTCGAGCGCCTGCTCGGCTCGCTGTGAGGGTGGGAGCGTGCGGTACCTGCTTGAGCAGCCGCAGCTCCTGCTTGAGCGTGTCCCGGAAGTGTCGCAGGTCCCGCTCGTGGTCGGCCCGCAGCCTCTTGGCGGCGGCCCGCAGCTCTGCCTCGAGCGCCTGCTCGGCTCGCTGTGAGGGTGGGAGCGTGCGGTACCTGCTTGAGCAGCCGCAGCTCCTGCTTGAGCGTGTCCCGGAAGTGTCGCAGGTCCCGCTCGTGGTCGGCCCGCAGCCTCTTGGCGGCGGCCCGCAGCTCTGCCTCGAGCGCCTGCTCGGCTCGCTGTGAGGGTGGGAGCGTGCGGTACCTGCTTGAGCAGCCGCAGCTCCTGCTTGAGCGTGTCCCGGAAGTGTCGCAGGTCCCGCTCGTGGTCGGCCCGCAGCCTCTTGGCGGCGGCCCGCAGCTCTGCCTCGAGCGCCTGCTCGGCTCGCTGTGAGGGTGGGAGCGTGCGGTACCTGCTTGAGCAGCCGCAGCTCCTGCTTGAGCGTGTCCCGGAAGTGTCGCAGGTCCCGCTCGTGGTCGGCCCGCAGCCTCTTGGCGGCGGCCCGCAGCTCTGCCTCGAGCGCCTGCTCGGCTCGCTGTGAGGGTGGGAGCGTGCGGTACCTGCTTGAGCAGCCGCAGCTCCTGCTTGAGCGTGTCCCGGAAGTGTCGCAGGTCCCGCTCGTGGTCGGCCCGCAGCCTCTTGGCGGCGGCCCGCAGCTCTGCCTCGAGCGCCTGCTCGGCTCGCTGTGAGGGTGGGAGCGTGCGGTACCTGCTTGAGCAGCCGCAGCTCCTGCTTGAGCGTGTCCCGGAAGTGTCGCAGGTCCCGCTCGTGGTCGGCCCGCAGCCTCTTGGCGGCGGCCCGCAGCTCTGCCTCGAGCGCCTGCTCGGCTCGCTGTGAGGGTGGGAGCGTGCGGTACCTGCTTGAGCAGCCGCAGCTCCTGCTTGAGCGTGTCCCGGAAGTGTCGCAGGTCCCGCTCGTGGTCGGCCCGCAGCCTCTTGGCGGCGGCCCGCAGCTCTGCCTCGAGCGCCTGCTCGGCTCGCTGTGAGGGTGGGAGCGTGCGGTACCTGCTTGAGCAGCCGCAGCTCCTGCTTGAGCGTGTCCCGGAAGTGTCGCAGGTCCCGCTCGTGGTCGGCCCGCAGCCTCTTGGCGGCGGCCCGCAGCTCTGCCTCGAGCGCCTGCTCGGCTCGCTGTGAGGGTGGGAGCGTGCGGTACCTGCTTGAGCAGCCGCAGCTCCTGCTTGAGCGTGTCCCGGAAGTGTCGCAGGTCCCGCTCGTGGTCGGCCCGCAGCCTCTTGGCGGCGGCCCGCAGCTCTGCCTCGAGCGCCTGCTCGGCTCGCTGTGAGGGTGGGAGCGTGCGGTACCTGCTTGAGCAGCCGCAGCTCCTGCTTGAGCGTGTCCCGGAAGTGTCGCAGGTCCCGCTCGTGGTCGGCCCGCAGCCTCTTGGCGGCGGCCCGCAGCTCTGCCTCGAGCGCCTGCTCGGCTCGCTGTGAGGGTGGGAGCGTGCGGTACCTGCTTGAGCAGCCGCAGCTCCTGCTTGAGCGTGTCCCGGAAGTGTCGCAGGTCCCGCTCGTGGTCGGCCCGCAGCCTCTTGGCGGCGGCCCGCAGCTCTGCCTCGAGCGCCTGCTCGGCTCGCTGTGAGGGTGGGAGCGTGCGGTACCTGCTTGAGCAGCCGCAGCTCCTGCTTGAGCGTGTCCCGGAAGTGTCGCAGGTCCCGCTCGTGGTCGGCCCGCAGCCTCTTGGCGGCGGCCCGCAGCTCTGCCTCGAGCGCCTGCTCGGCTCGCTGTGAGGGTGGGAGCGTGCGGTACCTGCTTGAGCAGCCGCAGCTCCTGCTTGAGCGTGTCCCGGAAGTGTCGCAGGTCCCGCTCGTGGTCGGCCCGCAGCCTCTTGGCGGCGGCCCGCAGCTCTGCCTCGAGCGCCTGCTCGGCTCGCTGTGAGGGTGGGAGCGTGCGGTACCTGCTTGAGCAGCCGCAGCTCCTGCTTGAGCGTGTCCCGGAAGTGTCGCAGGTCCCGCTCGTGGTCGGCCCGCAGCCTCTTGGCGGCGGCCCGCAGCTCTGCCTCGAGCGCCTGCTCGGCTCGCTCGGCGGCGGCGCGTCCTCCTCGTGCGAGCGCGTCCAGCTCGGCCTCGTGCGCGCGCGCCAGGGCCGCCAGCTCCGCCTCCAGCCTGCATCACACCAGCATCACCTCATCATTATATTCCGTGCCGCGTTGATAGGGGAACCGAGTATCGAGCTCCTGCGCCTGTCCCAAAATTGCTAGGAGCCCGATAGCGCACCCAAAATCGATCAGCGACTAGCACTCCACAGGAAAGGACATCAAAATCAACGAATTTTGTTGGCATCATAAAAAGCCATATCCAAACGGTTTGAACACGCTAATCTCGGGAAATTCTAGTTCAAATTGAAAGATTTTTTTGAGTTGGACAGTCCATTTTCCGAGCAAGACTTTAAGCTATATAACATTACGCTACGACCAATAGAAGCGAAACAGTGAGCAGTAAAAAATGTAGCAAAAATAGGCAAAATTATTCATATAGGAGGGCTTCTTCAACGGAAGCCTATATAAATATAGTTAAGCCTAGTTTAAAATAATTTATACCACAATATTGACCTATATCGTTAAGAATGACGTGACTACTACGTTAACTATTACAGCAGTCAGATGACCCACCTCTTATCCTGTTGCTCCCTCAGCTGCTGCTCCTTAGCGTTCAGGTCCTGGAACTGCTTCTGTTCCTGCTTCTGCAGCATCTTAATCTCGCGCAGCTCCTGTTTGCGCAGCGCATGGTCGTCCCACGTGCGGCCGCTCTCCTCATCTCCCCATATGACCTTGAATTCAAAAGTTATTTTTCAAAATATATTTTTGTAATTTTATTACAACAGTAATATAATTCCCACCGCTCCAATTTTTTAGTATTGTGTTCAAAAATAATTTTGTTCTCAATAACGCTGGAGTATCAAAAAAATAAAGGTACTCCCATAATATGGTTGAGAGCAATGATAGCTGGCTCATCCGTCATACTCGTGAACGAGTGTTGCTTGTAGGGAGGGGTTCGTGTTACGTCCACTGATCAGATTTTCTTTCGTCAAAAATGCATTAGCAGCAATGCTCACTGTGATCACTTTATTATTCGAAATTGATATTAAAAAACAGGCAGTAGATGTCCTCAGCCGCTCCATAAGTCCCTTCTTTAGTTTGGAGTGCCATCTACACTCGCCCCCTATCATCCTGTGAAGCTAGCTATAAAGGCCAGTTCCAACAAAGAATTTAGAGTAGTCCGAAAAAAAAATATCGGCTTCATACCTTCGAGGTGGTGGTGGTCATGATGACGCCGTCGATCTCGAACTTTCTCGTGCGCTTCCTCGTCTTCTTCTTGAGGTTTGCCATGTGGATATCTTCTTTGGACCTGATGATAAACACTGTGTTGTAATCTCTTTGTACATTCTTATATGTTTAGTTTTTTTTTAATTTTGAATTGATTTTCTTTTAGAATTGTCATATATTTATATTGTCACCTTTTTGACTTACAACCGTTTGTATACGCATCTTAATTATAAGTATTTACCATTTTCTATCCATTGTTTGATTTATATCACGCATACTACATAACTACTATCGCCCACACATCGCATTTATGATCTACCTTTACAACTGACCATAACAATCTCAGGTCATTATCAACCAATATTGTTATAAACCAATATTGGAATTACCCTTAAATAAATTCAAAGCATCTGTTAAATCATATTTACTGAGCAAGGCCTATTACTCACTAAACGATTACTTGAATGACGAGCGTGCATAGCAATAGTTTTCATGTTCGGGATTTTCATTTAATGTTAGACATAGACACCTATATAAATACCTATGCATTGTAAATAAACTGGATTTTAAAAAAAAAGTAATTCAATTGAGTTTCTTGCCAGTTCTTCTCAATTGGATCTATAAACCGAACTGGACGGTAGGGAAAAAAAATATAATGTAAAAACTTGACGTTCATAAGCGGCTAAAATGTCCTACATTAATAAATGATTTAAGAATTTGAATTTGAACCTTATTTTGTTAAGAATAAGAATAATTTATTGTTGCCAATGAGATTACATAAAACTAAATACATTTATAGGGTCAAGTACCCTTAGGCGATGCACTAGGTTCCTAAGGTTTTTTTATATCGTTAATGTTATTATTATATATATGTAAGTAGGTATAAATATACACGTTGGGGGTAGGAGATTGTCAGTAATGTGGATTAATAACCCTATTGCTAGCAATGTACCATGTTAGGGACCTCCACGCGGTTCCCCCTGGAAACCATCATGTTAAATTCCTGGTGAATTTTCCAAGGGCAATCTGACCTGACTATGGAGTATACAATACAAAACATATCACGTGACCGACTTACCTTTGTATCCTGTTGACGGCCTGCCCATCTTGGTTCTTCCTCCTCAGCACAACCTGGTCTCCGTTCTCCAAACCTTGGTGATCCGTGTTTATCCTGTTTAGTAAAGAATGCATTTTTAATACACTTTACTATTTCACTTTACCAATTTTTATTTATAATTATTGAATAAATTGGTTCGAAGATAATTACGTATTTATTCATATACAAGCTTTGCCCGCAATTTCACTCATGTTAAATTTCAATACAAAATATAGCCTATATGTTATTCTGATATACAAATTATACAACTGTAAAGTTTCATCAAAATCCGTTCAGTAGTTTTTGCGTGAAAGAGTAACAAACATCCATCCATACTCACAAAAGTATGGTGTTATCTACCTTATATATAATGTTCATCATTCAAACATTTCTCCACATTAGTACGATTGTTTGTGTAGACGGCATTTAGGTAAAATTAACTTATTTTTATTATAGTCAACATTTTTTTTAAATCTACCGAATAAGCGGTAGATTTAAAAAAATGTTGACTATTCAAAAGTGCTTAAATTAAGTTTATTTGAATAAACGATTTTCTATTCCATTCTATTCTATTGTTTGTATCATTATGGGTGTTTTTTAGGTATATTTTTATGTGTATTTACAAAAAAAAAGGTATATCTATCAGTTGTATGGCAGCGGATTTTGAAAAAGGGCAAGTAAAATAGATCTGTGTAGGTCGCAGTGCTACAGGCAAGACCTGTAGCACTGCACCTTGCACACCTGGAAATAGCCTAAAACCCTCAATAAAAAAACTGTTGTAGAGTATCCACTACACAATATCTGTTTTCTTTTTATCTCAGAATAGTTGTACTCAGACAGACTGCCCATCTTATGGACGGTTAATACTTCAGTCAGTGGACACCGCTAGGGGTTCGAACCTCGGCTCAGGGCGTCGTAATTTCGATCCCAGTTTGAAATGGAATTGGGGATCGATCGGAGGGGATATATCACGTATGTATATTATACTTATGGTAAAGGCCCTTGCTTAGTTTGGGACTAGATGTCGCTGTGTATGTGGCGTATGGTGGTGTGAGGTGGCTGTGCATGTGTCGTGACAGGTTGTCGTGGCGTGTGGTGGCTGTGTACGAGTGTTGTTGGGTTGTGGTGGCTGTGTACGAGTGTTGTTGGGTTGTGGTGGCTGTGTACGAGTGTTGTTGGGTTGTGGTGGCTGTGTACGAGTGTTGGTGGGTTGTGGTGGCGCGTGGTGGTAGGTATGTGGTGGTGGTGGGTACCTGTTGCCGCCGTTGTGGTGTCGGTGGTGGTCGTCTGCGTCGGGCGGCGCACGTGACGACGACGACGCTACCGACCCGCTGTCCGACTGGGACCGTCGGCTGCAACACACACTTACTACATTACAATATGTCCTGATTTTAAATCAAATCACAACAAAAAAAAAATATATTTACTAGTTATAATATACAGCTGTACCGCAAACATTGATTTTCCATATAAATTTCGCAATTAAGAAATAGGGGGTTGATGGTGGAAGGGTGAAAATTTAGGGTTCGTAGTTTTTAATACCACATCATAAAAAAAATGTGTAACAAAATAAAAAAAAATGTTAGGGTTATCCTTAGGGTTGTCCATATCTAATATTTTTTTATTTTTATGATTATGAAAAATATATAATAGCCGATTCTCAGACCTACTCTATCTTATATATAAAATTCTCGTGTCACAGTTTTCGTTCCCATACTCGGCATAAACGGCTTGACCGATTCTCATGAAATTTTGTGAGCGTATTGAGTAGGTCTGAGAAACGGCCAACATCTATTTTTCATCCCCCTAAATGTTAGGGGTAGTCTAACTCTAATTTTTTATTTTATTTTAAGGCAAAACAACGTTTGCCAGGGCAGCTAGTATGCTTATAAAATTACATTAAAATGTAAGTCGGTCAAGCCGTTTGAAGTATGGTAACTAACATTGTGACACGAGAATTTTATATATAAGGTATTTTTTTTTATACTACTATGATGGCAAACAAGCATACGGCCCATCTGATGGTAAATGGTTACCGTAGCCTATGGACGTCTGAAGCACCAGGGGTGTCACGTGCGCGTTGCCGACTCTTAAGAAACTTTAATATACCCTTCTTGAAAAACCCCATGCTGTAGTCTCGTGAGAAAACCTCGGCAGGTAGTTCATTCCACAATCTAAGTGTACGCGGGAGGAAGCTCCTCTGAAACCGCACTGTCCGAGACCACTTAGGTTCCACCGTGTGGGAATGAATTCCCTGTCGATGGCGAGCCGTGCGATGGTAAAAGGTGGCCGTAGGCATCATATCGAACAATTCGTCAGGAAAATTCCGTTGTATAATCGGTAGAACACACGAAGCGAAGCGAAGTCTCGCCTCAAACTAAGTGTTTGAGGCGAGACTTCGCTTCTCTTTGTATATATATTTCGGCTCGATATTATATATAGTTTCTGGAAAAACGATCATTCTGGAAGACCACCATTCATCCAGATGATCAGGATGAATGATGAATTCTGTCCATGATGGGCAAATTGCTTAGTAAATCAAACTCACCTCTCGAAGCTGTCAGGGCTAAGCCGCGGCGGCTGCGCGCTGTGGTCGTGGTGGTCATTGTGGTGGTGGTGATGATGGTGGTGGTCGGGCTGCAGCGCCACGTGTGTGGCGGCAGAGTCCCGCACGCGCACCTCTTCATTGCCCACCGTCACCACAGACACGTGGGACGTATCCTGAACGAGACCAAGTCTTTTATATCTATGCTAGAATTAAGTTATTCTTCTTCTATGCTATTCTATTTTCCACTGCCCCAGAAAGTAGGGAATGTAAAGAGACTAGAAGCAGAGATTAAATAATTTCTAGGGAGTCAAGAGAGATGACTGATAAATTCCTAGAGAATTTATCACAATAGGCTAACTGACCTAACCTCGTTCGTGACCTTATCATATTCCACTAGTATCCCGCCAGCGTAATCCGGTGGCGCAGGCAAATGACTGATTCCATTAGCATCAATAAAAAACCCATAATTTTCAAAGTCGTAATACTTTTACTGGTGACTAAGTTTTTAATGACCATACTATTATAAATATTAAAAGAAAGCATCGCGAGGTTAGATAAGCTATGTAACAATAGATACAGAGAGAGAATACAAGGATTGTTTAAAAGAGCAACACACAAGTTTCTTGCTTATTCTTCTTGTGATGAGACAGCTTTCCGAATAAGCGGTAGATTTAAAAAAATGTTGACTATTCAAAAGTGCTTAAATTATGTTTATTTGAATAAATGATTTTCTATTCTATTCTATTCTAATAAAGTTACCAGGTTGAGTGCGTTGTTGGCGCTTTCGTCGAAGACACCGGAGTCTGCTCCGGCACCAGGACTCAGGATCAGCACTTCGCTGCTGTCGAGGCGGCGGCCTCGGCCCTTCTCTGCTGAAATGAACATTGGATGTTAGTTACAAATTTCGTTTTATATTTACATCTAATAACTGTTTTGTGTTTTTTTTAATGGAGGGATTTGGGCTATTGTTCGGTGCTAAGACCTGTAACACTGTGAACTGTACAGATATATTCTGCTCACCCTTATTCAGAAATTGTTGTCTAGACCCATCAGGGATAAAAATTTAAGGATATTCTTAGGAGCGATGTTTTTTATCTCCTCGGGATATAGTTTAGTGGTTTTTTTATGGATGATAATGGAATGGTGCACACGCCTGCGCTAACGGTATACGCTGGCGGGGCACCAGTGGAGCATGATAAGGTGAGCATGAGGTCAGGTCAGTTAGCCCATCGTGACATATTCGCCAAGAATTTATCATGATGGTTTCCCGGGAGAACCGCGTGGAGGTCAACCTGACATGGTACATTGCTAGCAATGGGGTCAACAGTCCACATTACTAAGAATCCCCTGGTTACGCAGACCGACATGACGCGACCGGAAAAAATAACAGTAATAAGGTAAATGTAATGTACTAGGGGGAGCTTATCACTGAAAAGAGATTTCTTTCAGTAAACTTGAAAAATATTATAGAATAATGTGTGCAATAGATCAGCCATGTATAATTATGAAAAAAAAAAACATGTATATAATTACAAAAAAATATATTTAAAAATATCTATCAGATGTCTAGCACCCATATTTTATATTAGTACCCATAACACAAGTTGTTTGGCACTAAATGGCTATGTGATAATTCACCATCTGCTTCTTCCTTATCACATTTATTTGTGGTCGTCGTAACATGTTTCCTCTTCCATTCATCCCTGTTCGCAGTCATCTCGGCCTTCCTCTGTCCTTATAACCATCCACATTCATATGTAACACCTTCCTTAAAATTGTGCTGATAATTGTCCTGGGAAATTATAATTAACATGTTCAAACATGTCAACCAACCTGTATAGGAATTGTTGCAGTCCAGAGAATCAAGCGAGGAGGGCGCGAAGCAATCATCGTCTGATGATGAACCGGCGCCCACTATTACCACCTCGTCTGCAATGGGCGGCGTGGTCGAGATGGTCACCGCATTCGGAGGTAGCTGGAAATAGAAACAATCGTTTATGGGGGTGCGTATACTACCCTTTAGGGTTTAGGTATTACTACTACCTACTTCGTCTAGAACTTGGGAGTTTCAAATAATACAGTCGACAAACAGAAATATCGTATCTTAACGTATCCGTCAAGCGAGAGTTGACCGGGTACCGGGCACCGCTAGGGGTTTAAACCTCGGCTCAGGCCGTCGTAATTTCGATCGCCGTTTGAATTGGACGGGGGATCGATCGTAGGGGCGACTAGTTAGCACAACTTGAGGGCTTCGGTTATATTTCTAACCTCGGGGCGAGCGGGACCTCGCGAGTATTTGTGTTTTATAACCGTCATGTAGACTCTTGTTTACAAATATGATTAAGATAATGATTTACGTTCTTCCTTTGTTTGAAGTGCCATCTGCACTCGCCCCCTATCGTCCGGTGAAGATGTAAAGGCCAGCTGCGGCTGACAGCATTAGAGCAGTCTGGAGGAATTAATTAAAGTAATATGACGATACAAATAACATCACCCTGTATAGTCACAGTCACAGTGTACGTACCGGCGCGGCGTTGTTGATGACTGGCGGGTGCGTGGTGGTGACTGTCACGTGACCTGCGGGCGTGGCCGCCAGCGAGTTGGGCTCCACCACCACCACGCTGTCGCCGACCGCCACCGCCACCACCACCGGGGACGCCACCGTCACCACCTGCGGCTGGCTCACTTGCTGCGGTGGCTGCAATTTAGAAAAATTACCAACTTAAATTCCTTAGAATTTAGTGGTAAACAAGCTGTCTGCACCTGATGGTAAGTGATAAACTATATACATGAACAGCACTAAGGACACCAAATTATCTGACACTACATCCGTGGGAACATTCATAGCTTGCCATTCCAGAGTACTAAGATGTCACGCCTCTTATCCTGTAATTTCACTCTCTAATCTGCACCCTACAACCGAAACATCTTACAAAGCAAGCGGCTTGGCGGCTGAAATATGTGAGACTGAGGTACACACGCGGACTTTTCAAAGTCTACTGTTAGCAAAAATTTTCGAATAGAAATGAATAACAAAACTCACCGTGACCGGCCTAATCTCCACTGCATTCTGCTGCGTTGTTCTCCACTGCTCCTTCTCATCTCTAACTCTCTTCTCATTCTTCTCCCTCTTCTCTATTTCTATTCTTTCTCTCTCATCCACTGAACTGGATCTCGAATACCTTTCTATTCTACTCACGGCTGCGTTCACTCTGTCACCAGTTCTATCTTCATCTACAGAACCAGACCTAGACTTATCTGCGTCTAACTTTTTATTCTGCAATCTATTCACTTCTGCGCTCACTCTAGAAACTTCTTCTATAGAACTTGACCTAGATTTATCCGTGTCCGGTCTTCTGTTATCGTCTGTGTTCACTCTGGACACTTCTTCTACTGAACTTGATCTGGAATACTCCTTTTCCGTTCTGTTCACTTCTGGTTTTAATTCTTTAGTTTCTGGCGTTGGCTTTGGTTTATGGACTATTTCGTTTTGTTTCTCTGGTGTACTATCTGTTTTTTTATCTTCTACCGCCTTTTCTGCTTCTTGACATACCTGTCCATAAACATTACGAGTCTTATAGCTTGCAAAAACAATTCCTAACACAGATTTAAGTTTTTTTTGTGGATGATAATGAAATGATGATGACCTGACCTCATACGTCTTATCATCCTCCATGGTGCCTCGCCAGCATAAACCGTTAGCGCAGGCAATTGCACCATTACATTATCATCCCTAAGAACCTCCAGACAACGACAGAGAGCAAATAAAAAAGTAACTGACCTGATCTACGATCTGCTTGCCGGCGACTGCGGCCGTGGGAGTGGCGGGCGCGGACGGCGGCGGCGGGGCGGGGTGCTTGCGGGCGGCTGCGGGGGCGGGGGCGGTGACGGGGGCGGGGGGCGCGGCGGGGGGCGCGGGCGCGGGCGCTCGGGTCGCGGGGGAGGCGGGGGGCGTGGCGGCGGGCGGCGGCGGGGCGGGACCTTTCTCTTTCTTCGGTGCCTGCGGGGACAAAACATAAAGTAACAGCTACAGGCATGCATCATATATTGATAGAATGTGTTCGTAATGCATCTAAAAAAACAGTACAGAAAGTTAAGTTTAGCAGCGCTACGTCTAACGCGTCATTTATGCGTCACACATAAAAATGGACCAAGAATAGATCCTTGAGGTACACCTATTATATCTCAAGGATTTATTCTGGGACCATTTTTATTCCTAGTTTATATTAAAGATGATTACATATGCCATACAGGATAAATGGGGCATACTATTTTTGCAGACTCTTAATTGATTTGTAAAGTTATTACAATTACAGGATTGGCATGAAAGATTTTTGATTTATTGATTGAAAGTGGCTAAATCATCCAAGCTTTGAAGTTTATGTTAGTCTCAGATGCAGCCGAGCAATATTTTATAAAATCATCCTATTAATATAAGTTGATTATTTATTATTTAAAATAGTTATGATATCGTCATAGACACATTTTGTGTACAAAAATCCCAAGCACAATACGAAACAAAAGAAAGAGAGAAAAACTTACAGGCGCTTTCCTGTCAGCGGGCGGGTGTTCGTCGTCGCGGGGTCGCTTGGCCGCGGCGGGGGCTGCGGGGGCTGCGGGGGCTGCGGGGGCGGCGGCGGGGGGCGAGGGCGGCGCCCGGGGCTGCGCGGCCGCAGGCGTAGCACCCGCCGGGGGCTCCGCCTCCGACACTGCGGGCGGACACCATTATTCATAATAATAACATACATTTGACGCATTTTTAATGCCTCGGTGAAATTGTGGTTTAGTACATCATCATCATCATCATGATCTGTTTCTTCCTGATCCCATTTATTTGTGGTCGGTGTAATATGTTTTTCTTTTCCATTCATCTCTATTCACAGTCATCCCGTTATTTACTTCCTTTCTTACCATATCATCTTTCACACAGTCCATCCGTGTCTTTTTCGGTCGTCTTGTATCCTTTTAACCATCCACATTCATATGGAACACCGTCCTTAGGATATGATCATCATTCCTACGCATTACATGCCCATACCACGATAGACGATTACTCTTCAACCTCACCGCCACTTTCATACTTCCTCTAATGTATTCATTCTTTATCTTATCCACTCCTGTCACACCACATATCCATCTCAATATTCGCATTTCAGTTGCATGCAGTCGTCTCTCATCCGTCGCCTTTATGGGCCCGCACTCTGATCCATACAAAATAGCAGGCCGGATCATGGCCTTGTAAATTTTGCTTTATTTAAATATGTCACGATGGGCTAAATAACCTGACCTCATACTCATCCACTGTTACCCCACCAGTGTAAACCGTTAGTGCAGGCCGTAAGTAGTAGCCGTAATAATCCGTTAATGGAACGGTGCACCCCCATTCCATTATCATCCATAATAAAGTCTAATACTACTGCTATAACAAACCACCTGACTTTATCCTTTCACATTTTGCACTGTATATTTGATCAAATAAATAATTAGTAATTATATTTTGTTATAAACTCACTCTTGACGTCCGGCGTCTCGCCCGACCTCACAGACGTCGAGTCATCTTCCATCTCCATATGCATCTGCGAGCTGCGATGTTCCTGCAACACACAAAACTCACATAAATATATATTTCTAATCTAATGTGGGAATATGGCGGCTTAGACTTGAAGAATAGTGTTATATATATACTAAATTATTATTTACGTATTACATCGTTCTGTCAACTCCTTCAATTGTTTATTTAAAAATAACATTATAATCTTAATGAAATACATAAATCCTCTTTCAAGATATAAAAAAGCTTGTATTACGAGTACAAGAAAACCGATACAAATATTTTCAATACATTTATATAAGTTAAAAAAGAAACAGCAGAGCTTCTGCTCACCTTGGGACTAGATGACGTTGTGAATAGGACTTTGCTACTTACGTGATGTTCTGAGAATTGTCCAGGGGTATTATTATTATTCAGTTTATGTGACCAAAGACTATTTCTATTTCTAAATACATACATAATATATAAATTACAATAACGCGTTGTACCTTCAATGCAGGCGGACGCTCTCGCGGCTGCGCGTCCATTTCGCAAGCAATGTAGACCAGACATAAATACTCCATTAACGCGACAAACTCATATTAAACTAATATAAATTACACAAAGTATGTTGACTTATTACATTCTAAGACTACATTCAAGCTCGTGATTGTTTCAGTGGTTTCAGACTACGAGATTTTAGTTTAACCGCTTACCATCAGGCGGGTTGTATATTTTAGATTGGTATCAAAGAGATGAAAAAATGAAACGAAGGCAACAGAAAAAAGAGGCTGGATCATTAGGGCTGTGGTTCGATCAACATGGAGAAGGAAAGCGTTGGAGAGAGGAATATGGAGTTTATTGGAGGAGGCATATCTTAGGACAGGCTGATGAACTGAGGGAGTAAAATGGGAAGCCTACTCCACATTTTATCATCGCACGAGTCGCCATCGATAGGGAATTCATCCCCACACGCAAGAACTAAGTGGTCTCAGACAGTGCGGTCTCAGAGGAGCTTGCTCCCGCGTACACTTACATTGTGGAATGAACTACTTTCCCGAGAGACTACAGCATAGGGTTTTTCAAGAAGGGTATATTAAGGTTTATTAAGGGTCGGTAACGCGTCCGTGACACCATTGGTGTTTCAGGCGTCCATAGGTGCGGTAACCCTTTACCATCACATGGGGCGTATGCTTCTTTGCCACCTATGTGGTATAAAAAAACATCATATTTTGAGAGAAACGCTCTTGTCGTTAAAGCTCTTGTGACTTCCCACGATCTTCCATCCCACTCTTTAAACGTTGATACGACACGACTCCAATTCTGTCCTTAATTTGCATGCTTCATGTAGCTGTGCCTTAGTCTTCCCCTCATTCTCTTTCCTTCTATCTTTCCCTCAATAATAACATTCATAAATTCATCGTGCCGTATCAAGTTATAGATTTATATTATTTTGTTTAATTCCCCTACAATTAGCATGTGTGAAAACTCAAATATTCAGTGTGGAACTTGACTACCGTTACAACCTTCTCTATTGGTGATCAAATTCCGACCGTTATTGAGTCTACACCCATACTGCGACACGTGTGTCGTCTTTGAACGAGGCATCATCAGGCATTGAATAGAGTTTTGATATAGCTTGGAAAACTAGTGTTGACTGTTCGGCGACCAATCCGCGGTAGTCAACACAACAGTCAATAAAATTATATAAATCCATTAAGTAGTGAAATGGATTTCCGCAAAATACATCTAATTCGTTAAAATGTATATTTTTAAATACAGATATTGTATAACATAACTATATATCTATATATTCATATGTAAAATAGTGGAAATCCATTAACCAGCCAATCAAATTCACTTCGACTTTCTAATTTTACTTCTTTGTAAATTGGATACAGCTTTATGAATGTTGCTTTCTCGGCTTCATATATACTTTACAGCTAACCTTCGTCATAAAGAAGTTATTATTTCTTTTCCGTTGTCAATGGCCAGTATCATTCATATTAACTTCCAATTTTGAATTTTACTTCTTGGTTACTGGAATACAACTTTATAAATATTTTCCTTAGCTTCGTATATACTTTACAACTAACCTTCGTTATAAAAAAGTTATTTTTTCTTTTCCCATAGTCAATGGCCAGTAATAAATAAATAAATGTAATACTAACCTATTCTCTGATACTGTTCCTTATTTGGCTTGTGCTTGCTCCGTCGCGACTTGCTCTATACGAGGCAAGGGTTAGTAAGCGTGCGGACAAGCAGACACGTGGACATATTGTTAGTTAGTTATATATATATATATATTATAAAACACGGTAAAACACAAATTACAATATAATTACGGGTCGTCCGCTCAGAGTTTGCGTTTCTGACAGGTCGGGACCAAATGGGCGCTGTAACTTTGAACTGACGTCCAATTTACGTCAAATTTTTAAATATCTTTTATTTGCCTTATAAACGAATGAGTGATATAATTATAATGGTAATAAAAGTTGTACTAGATATAGATAGATACCAAGAGAATCTCAATAGCTGCCTTTACACGACACGTTCTTTCACGTGCGTTAAACCGCGGAAATGCCGCCGCGAGCCGACGCCGCCGAAAGGTCAAGTGAAAAATTACTATTAAAATTTATTTTTTAATACACAGATTTTTTCTACAGTTGCTGCTACTACTTTTATTCTTACTCTAGGCTACTTTTATTTTAGAAAACATATTTTGTATTAGAAAAATAAAGTAATATTTCAAAATTCTACGCGAACAAAGTCGGACGTACAGCTAGTTTAACATACGATTGAAAGAACCGAAAATACGAGCTGGCGGCGCGCGGTCTTTCTCGTTCCCTTTGTCTACATTTACATGTTTACACTTTCCTGCATGAAAATCTATTTGCACGTAAAAGAGCATACGTGTAAAGGTGGTTATTTACCAGGTTGTCCATTTAAAGATTCCTTTAAGCGATTTGTTACCATATTTATATATTATAGTATTTTTTTTTGTAAATATTTTACGATATGCACAATAAACAGTTCTATTATTATTATTACCATCCGGCATACCGTATGCTTGATTGTCTTCTTTATTGTATAAAAGTATCACACCATAAAAGTACTAGGCTACCATGAATTGGTAGATATTTTAAAAACTAATTACATGCATTTAAGTTAAAACATTACAGCGCCCGTATAATTCAGGCCTGAAATAGATATAGGACCTAATAATAGATGCTCTTACCTCCGAATCATCATCCAAGAGTTCTTCCTCCACCACCTCAGCGCGGTATTCGAGTAGGAGATCCCTAAGCGGCTTCGAGTCCAGGTTCCCGTTTACAAACTCGTGCTTGAGCAGTTCAGTTGCGGTCGGCCTCTTCTCTGGGTCCTATACGAATAAAAAAAAATAAAAAATTCTTTATTCAAATTAATTTAAATAAATACACTATTGAATAGTCATACTTTTTTTAATCTACCGCTCATGCGGAAAGCTGTCTCATCACCAGTGAGATGCCATATGATAGAATAAAACGGATAATTGCAGAAAGAGACAAAAACAGGTGCGTCACTCTACACACCCGTGACACTACCAGCACGTGTGAGCGAGAACGTATTATGCAGCGATATCACGACGACATCAATGTTGAAGTTTAATGATCCTAAATAGCTCTACCTACTCCGATCAGTACTCATCACATAAGTAAAGATTAAACTGTTATTTAATAACATCTTATATATAAAATTCTCGTGTCACAGTTTTCGTTTCCATACTCCGAAACGGCTTGACCGATTCTCATGAAATTTTGTAAGCGTATTGAGTAGATCTGAGAACGGCCAACATCTATTTTTCATCCCCTTAAATGTTAGGGGTAGTCCAACCCTATTTTTTTTTTTTATTTTAAGGCAAAACAACGTTTGCCGGGACAGCTAGTAATAATATAAAAACATTACTTAAGATATGTATCTACGTTATTTTGTTTCCCCTACCATTATCATGTGTAATACACAAATATTAAAAAACAGAAACTTGACCACCGCTACTGGAAGCGTTACGCCTTTTCTAATGGTGATCAAATTCCGACCGTTACTGAGTCTACACCCATATTGCGACACATATTTCGCCTCGGAATGAGGCATCAGGCAATGAACATAACTCGAATACAGTTTGGAAGCTTAGTATCGACTGTGCTTAGCGTCAGAACAGGTGAGGCTGTGTTACCTTGTATATAGATGAATTACTAAATATACCTCGGTAACATTATTTATACCGAATATCACCTTCAAGCATTACCATAGCAGATACCATATAGAGTATAATAATATAACATGATCGTTGCAGCAGATCAGACATGGTTTTTGGCATTTGTTTTACTTTTGTTTTCATATTAAACTAGAAGACCCGTCCCATCTTTGAATGAATACATTAAAAAAACTTTGAATTTCTCGTTTTGTTCTATACAAAACACGCATGTATTATACATATAAACCTTCCTCTTGAATCACTCTACATATTGCTGAAAACTCCGTTGCGTAATTTAAGACATATAAGCGAACAGACAACAGCAGCAAATTTGCACTATGTATATAAAATTCTCGTGTCAAAAGTTTCGTTGTTAGACGCCTCCGAAACGGCTTGACTGATTTGGATGAAATTTTATATGTATATTCAGTAGATCTGAGAATAGGCCCGCCCAAATAAAATCGCCATTTTTTTAATATTTTTTTATTGTGTGGCATTAAAATATACATACAGCAAGGTTAAGGTTGCCTGGAAGAGATCGCTTTTTAGCGATAAGGCCGCCCATTGTTACCTCTTTGTCTTGTTTATTGTATTATATATATATTTTTTTTATAATTTTGTACATAATTGTATATGTAATTGTATTTTCTGTGAGAGGAACAATAAAGAGTTTCATTCATTCATTCATACAGCCTGAAATTTTTACCCTTCCACCACCAACCGCTATTTTTTAATAACGATTTTAATTTATAAGACAAACTACGTTTGCGTAGTCAGTTAATAATATGTAAGGATTTTGTAACTACTCACGCATACACGATTTTAAACTATATCCACTACAACAAAAGGCATATATTACCTTAACAAGGGCTTTCGCTATGAAGTCGTTGAAGGTCTTGCTCCACTTGGAGGGCTGCTCGAGCGTGGGGGGCTCGCTCTTTTGTATCTTGAGCAGTACCCGCATGGGAGTCATCTCGTGGTTGGGGGGCTCGATTTGGGCGAACTCTATCAGCGTGATGCCGAGCGACCAGATGTCCACCTGAGGAACAGCAAATTTATATATTTAATCCATACTAGGGGGCCGTCGTTCAAGTATTACATAAGTACTGTGGGGTCATTTCTTTACTTATTTCGAATGACATGAGGGGTGGGGGTCTAGGGGATGATTACGTCATCGGTGGTAAATTACTTACGCAAATGGCAACCCTCACGTTGTCATTGCTAAAAAAAACAATATATTAATTAAAAATGTTTATATAAGCATGGGGGGAGGGGGTAAGAGCTTGGCTTACTTTTTCTGACAACGGATGGCGAGGGGGAGGAGGGGGGAGAGGGGGGGAATAAATAATTGTAATAAATCTGATTACGTAATACTTGAATGGCTCCTAATATAAAGCTTAAGAGTTTGCTTGGCGGGAGCGTAAAAATCTATCAAATACACTATATTCTGTCTATTTACCTATCTTAAACTAAATTATAAAAAATATTACCTTAAAATCGTATGGGTTGTCTCTAAACGTCTCGCAGAGCACCACTTCGGGCGCCATCCAGTACGGCGTGCCGATGAACGTGTCATGTTTCTGTAGGGTCCATTTGTTCTTCGCAGACACGCCGAAGTCCGCTGGCGAATAAAAAAAAACATATATATATTGTATACACTTTTAATACAATATGGAGTCTCCTCTTGCCTCTGTCCCACTTTATGCGGCGTCGGATCTTCAAATTTTTCGGCGCCAGGACAGGTGGCTGGAGGACCTCCTCTACTTTTACGTTCAGGTAAGTCTTAAGGCTTGTTTGACCACATAATCCTCGTCATTACGCATTACATGGCAATGCTTTTTAAGACGGTTCTCTCATACAATGTGGAGTACGATAAAAAAATAATAGAGGGTCGTATATTCAGTGATTTGTCAATACAGAACTTATACAGAAAGGTTTGAGTTCTAATTTACACTTTAAAAAGCTTTGTACTTCCATGGCGCCCCGTCAGCGCAAACGAATGCACCTATTCATATTTAATAATTAAAAAAAATTACTATTTGATACAGATTTTGTACAAAACCTGCATCAGTTACTAATGTACAAGTTATACAAACAGGATATTTATCATGATAATTACTATTTATGAAGTCCCAATATTCTACCCGCGGCTTCGCTCGTATTGAATAAAAAATATATATTATTTTTAATAAAAAGAATCCCATGTTCATTCTAATACCTCCAAGAACATGTGTATAAACTTTCATGATGATCGGTTCAGTAGTTTTTGCGTAAAAGCGTAACAAACACCCCTACTTTCACATTTATAATATTAGTAAGAATTAATACAACTTTGAAACAAAACATAAAACAGATATTGTAGTGAAAGAGATGGAAGCATTATGTCGTCTCTTTCGCACACTGCTGGCGTCTTGTGTTTCTTAGTCAATAATTAGAAAGACAAAGAGTACAGATACCAACCGAGTTTGACCCCTCCGGGCATCGTAGCCAGAACGTTGCCCGCCTTCAGGTCTCTGTGGATGACCTTCCTCGAGTGGAGAAACTGCAGGCCCCTGCACATTTCCCGGCACACGTAGGCGATCTGCGTTTCGCTGAGACCCTTGTCCAGCTCCGCCATCACCGAGTCTAAGGCACCACCGTCGCAATACTCCAGCAGCATCTGAAATTCATAACTTTGTAATCACATACAAGCTCATTTGAAAAGCATAAGAGGCGAGTTTCTTATCAGTTCTTAGTTTGAAGACACTCCAAACTAATGATAAGTTTATTAACACGTTGAAGATTTTTCAATGCGGTGTGCATTGACAAATCTTATTTCTCACATAGGGACCAGCATTTTATTGTAAATTACGTGAGGCTATGTCAAATTAAGTAAGTCCGCTATATGCAGTATCTTTTCAAGGGACCAGCGAATGAACTACTGTACGTAAATACTTTGTTTAATCGTAAGGTTTTATTTTAGCATATTCGTTTTAAAGCTATATACCAGGTTTCCATAACAATTTTCCATAATTTACGTACGGTATACAAGTATTTATAATGTATAATTTAAAAGTGTTAAAAAGATATTTTTGTGTTTCCACGTACACTTAGTATTTTTTACAGCATTAAGCTATAAACTGTAATTTTTGAGCTTAAGCCTTTTAGTCTTTGTTTTAGTGAAAACAATGTCAATTAAAAAACTATTTTGATAAAAAAAACCTTCTATTTATTAATTTTGTGTAATGCGTTTTAAATAAACACACCCACACATTATTTCTAATTAATTTATAAAAATACGTAATGAATATCAATTTCCAATAATGACACAACCCTATTTAAAAATTGTAAAAACCTGGCAACATAGGTAATGTCAAATTTGTCTCTGGGATAAAAAAATAAACTATACAGAATACAATACACTTTCAATTCAACTCACCCATAATTTATTGTCTATGAAGTACGCCTCATGCATCTCCACCACGTTGGGATGCCGGCACTCCGTCAGTATGTCAATTTCCACTGTGAAGTCGGCCAGGTCATCCTCGTTGTCCAGCACACACAACTTGGCGGCCGCCAGCTGACCGGAGGTTTTGTGTTGCGCCTTGTACACCTGGAAACGAGATGCTGGCAGGTCAATGAAGAGTCATACATATCTAGAATCAATTGCCGAGTTAGAGCAGTTTAGAGATTCCATATAATTTTGGATGGCCCTTATGTCCGGTAGAGGTAGGCGTTAAAACACTGACGTACCGCATGACGCAGATACTGTCCGGGCACGGAGTTTTGTTAAACTGGAGGACACGGCGCAACACACGCTTTTCCAACGTTGTGAGCGCCGTGTGAACGATTGATCAGTAGCGAGAGAACTAGCTCCTTTGCAGTTCACAGATAAATTATTTTTTTCGTTCGTTACGTGTATTGATCAGTGTTACATCTACAGGGCGGGCCGTTATGGGGTATATTAGGAATATATTTCTCACACACCGCCCCGCCCTCCCTCCGGCGGTGTCACCGTCTTTTCAATATTTTCCACACGTTAAAAAAAAACTTAAGTTAAACTGTTTTTTGTGCGTGAACGATTAAACTACTTTACAGTTCACAGATAAATTATTTTATTCGTCGACTGGTCCATGAATACGTTGCGTCGAAACTCCGACATCGTCAATAGGTAAACGTGATTTTCGTTCGTTACGTGTATTGATCAGTGTTTCTTATATTTCCAAAAAAATAATATTTAAGCAATTGTATCAATTGTCTAGTACCCTGATTTCGTATCCCCTTAGGAGATGAGTGAAAATTGGGACCTCGAGGGCCCGAATCAATTCCGGGGGTTAAATTTTTTCTACTAGCCATAAGAAGCTCTGCGTAGCTTTGGACCAGATGACATTGTATGTCTGTCCAGGGTTATCATTATTATTATTACATTACCTTTCCGAATGCGCCGTCTCCGAGCTCGCCGACCATATCCCAATTCTCCGTGGGATCACTATTGTCGCGGATGTTCGCGAACACTTTCTTCTTTTTCGCATCATTTCCACCGCCGAGGTGTAGCACCTGTTAACACGATCTTATTAGAAATAGAGAAATAGAAATAATCTTTATTCAAATAAACTCATTACAAGCACTTTTGAATAGTCATATTTTGATTCTACTACTCATTCGGAATGCAGATTCTGAGTTGCTCTTTTTAATAAATGTTTTTTATATAAATAACAAGTAACAGACATGCGATAATCAACATAGAAATCGCTACGCACTTTATTATCGCTATTAGTGATATTCTTGTTTTTTTTAATAATATTTACTATTTTCCATTTCTAGTATGAGCCTGTCCATTATTACATAATATTATTCATATGTGCAGTGGACGTCTTCCGGGCTGCGATGATAATGATTTATATGAGGCTTGAAATTTTAAGAATCTTTGCAGGTACAAATATATACACGTGACTTTGTCTAACGCAGGAATAATAAGACTAGCTGTATTTCGGTACAGAATAGATAACAATGATTGGTACAGTTTATGCTGTAAATAATATAAATGAGGTAGTGGAGTAACTTGAAACAGTCATGCTCGCTATAAAGTTCAAAATGTGGCGGCGTGGTGGGTAGGGTCGATGTGCTCCCTCTAATATGGTTGAGTGCAATGATGGCTGGCTCATCTCGTCAGCTCGTCACTCTATTCTCCCAAATTAGAATTTAAATGAATCTGTTTTAGTGTAAAAATGTACAACATTTATTTAAAAAAAAAATACGAGCTGAGTTTCTTGTCAGTTCTTCTCATCTCGAAATTATTCCGAACTGACGGTAGATTTGACATATCATAAGAGTCTGTAATAGACCTACATGAATAAAGATATTTTGAATTTTAATTAAATAATCCGCGAGCTAGAATCTAATATCCTTTTAACCTCTGTATAGGTATAATTTTAAACAATCTATTTTGCAAACTATGGCAAAACACATGATACTAAGTTTTAATTACCATCTTTTATACTGTGTTTTTTAAGCAAATAAATAAATTATTATTATTATAATATCAAAAATTATTAAGATGATCAGTAGTATATAACCTAGCGACTGATTGACTTCGAAAGTTGTGTTAGAAGGACGATCCTTACAACACTGTATAGAAGAGACCGCCCCTTTTAAACTTTTTTTAAACCGAACTGGCCGGTAGGGATTCCTTTAAAAATGCTGACATGCCTAGGCCAAAATATCCCTGAGGAATAAACATTTTTTTATTTGACAGTATTGATGTGGACTCACCTTTTTCAGATTACTCAAGAACGACATGGTATGTGGTGGCGCGCCGATGTCGACGCGCTAGCGCCTCAACCGTCTTTGAACATCTTGTCACACTGCGGCACTATGGACTGACCCTGTAACAAAATAAGGTATAATTTTAATTGACTTGAACCGAACATCTGTAACATATGCGTATGTACTTGTCCCTGGTGCAATTTCGCGGACTACTCTATTGCTGCTGGCCGCAGCTGGCCTTTGCAGCTTCACCGGACAATAGTGGGCGAGTGCAGATGACTCTCCAAACCAAAGGAAGGACTTACGTAAGGAGCGGCTGAAGGCCAACCCCCGCCTGACGGATACGACTTTAGTCTGGGGGCGCCGCTAGGGGATCGAACCTCGGCTCATGTCATAATTTCGATTCCCGTTTAAATTGTACGGGGAACAGTTAGGCGGAATGTGCAATTACTGCATTGTAACCTTTCGTTTCAAAACCACAGTGGTGGCAATCTAGCATACGGCCAATCTGATGGTAAACGATTACCGTAGCCTATGTACACTGAAACACCAGGGCTGTGGATACTTAAAAAGCTTTAATATACTTTTCTTGCAGTACAAACATTCCTCTTTGCAATCTTAACATATAAAAATCTTGTGTCACACTTGTTATTCACCAACTCTCACAACTGGCCGATTTTTATGTAATTTTCGGTACATCTGAGGAAAGCTTGTTATCCTTGTTATCTAGGGGTAGGATAGGCCTACCTCTAGATAACAAGGATGGTCCAATCCAGAACTTTTCCTATTTCCTAATTATACTAGAAATAATATTGCAAAAGAATGTATGCCGGTATCAACTGCATGACTGTAACTAGTATTAATATGTATTAGAATAGAATAGAAAATCATTTATTCAAATAAACTTAATTTAAGCACTTTTGAATAGTCATAGTTATCATTCTTAATCTACCGCTCATTCGGAAAACTCTCTCATCACAAGAAGAACAAGCGACGAAGAAACTTGTGTGTTGGTCTTTTAAATAATCATTGTAACTTTACATTTCCAATTCGAAACGTGCGAATACAAACCACCAACTAGCACCAATTTATTACTTTCTATAGATATTCAGTACACAATAGGATTATTATATTATCATTAAATAGTATAAAACAAAGTCGCTGTCGCTGTGTCTGTCCCTATGTATGCTTAAATCTTTAAAACTACGCAACGGATTTTGAAGCGGGTTTTTAATAGATAGTGATTCAAGAGGAAGGTTTATATATACAACTAGCTTTTGCCCGCGGCTTCGCTCGCGTTAATTCATCCCCTTAGGGGTGGAATTAATCAAAATCCTTTCTTATGTCTATGCCTACGTCATAGTAACTTTATGCATGCAAAGTCTCAGCCCGATCGGTTTAAAATTGACAAAGTTTCACACAAATTTTCATCCCCTATTTTATCCCTTTGGGGGTAGAATTAATCAAAATCCTTTCTTAGCGGATGCCTACGTCATAAGATCTACCTGCATGCCAAATTTCAGCCCGATCCGTCAAGTGGTTTGGGCTGTACGTTGATACGATCACTACGTCAGTCACCTATGAGTTATATATATTTAGATACATGTACATCCGTGCAAAGCCGGTGCGAGTGGCTAGTAATATACATAGAAAACACCCAGACCAATACAAACAATCGTATCATGAATAAAAATGTTTGCAATCGAGGAATTGAACCCGCGACCATCGGAAGTAAAACTGTGTGTTAAACCGCTAAACCACAGAGACCGTCAAGCTTCTATTCTTAAAATGATACTTCCATGCAACCTTTCAACACTTTATTCTCATTTAAGTGAAGTTTTTGCTTCACGTATTTATAATGCTACGTTTACATTCAGCCGCTTCCCCTGCCACTCGCGCTGCCGTAAATATTGCCAGGCGACAACTGAGCGAGAGGGCTGAATGTAAAAACACGCTGCCACTCGCGCTGCCAGTCATTTGACTCGCGCACGAAAAACCGACAATCGAGGGAGCGCCGGGCAGCGCGAGTGGCAGCGCCAATGGCATGGGAAGTGTTTCCACTCGTATTTACACTCTCGCGCTGCTCACTTCTCCGCCCACTCGGGCTGAGTATAAATTGGGCATTACACTTCAAGATAATGCAAACCTATAGATAGTGTTTAGCTTGTAGTTAAATAAACCATAATAAACAGGGGGAAGGGGATGTGGACTCATGACCCCATTGCTAGCAATGTACCATGTCAGGTCGACCTCCACGAGGTTCCCCTGGAAACCGTCGTGATAAATTCCCGGTGAATTTGTCACGATGGGCTAACTGACCAGACGTCATGCTCATATTATCATCCTCCACTGGTGCCCTGCCAGCGTAAACCGTTAGCGCAGGCGGGGGCACCATTACATTATCATCCATAAAAAAAAAACCATAATAGACGCACCTACAAAACAATATAAATCGGTACAAACCCAACACAAATATGTACCAAGTCATTGAAAAAATGCGAACACTTAAAAATCCAAATAAACATAATTGAAAGTGATAATATAAATGAATAATCAACATAATACCAGTATTATACTAATATACGGCCTTTTAGACAACCTCGCCGCCTGTCCTTGCTAGATAACCTTATCTTTGTTATACGAATGTGAACCTTATACAAATAGAAATAACGGTCAAAGTGTATACGAAAGAATTACAAACTAAAATATTTGCTCGCCATCAGAAGATACCGGAAACTGTAGAGTCGATTTCTACGTCATTATAAAGTCTCTTTGCAAATTCTTAGAGCATCTTTGACAGACTCGCTGGTCTAGTGGTTTAGCACACCGCTTTACTATCCGATGGTCGCGGGTTTGATTCCTAGCACGGTACGAATGTTTGTATTCATACATCTTCACCGGACGATAGAAGAAAGACTAATGGAGCGGCGCAACGCAGAGTTTCTGTTATAGGTACTAAACAACTAATATAAATACATATATTATATACGTAAGCCCCGACATATATATAATATCTCCTTACAATTAACACAGCGCAATCTAGCCCCACGGTAAGCAGAGCTTGTGTTATGGGTACCAGACAACTGATATAAATAGACTTTTTTTGTAAATACACACATAATATACATAGAAAACACCCAGACCGATGCAAACAATCATACTCATGAACACAAATATTTGTGCCGTGCGAGGAATCGAACCTGCGAACGTTGCAAGTAAAGTGGTGTGCTAAACCTCTAGACCACCGACGCCGACAATACTTATCTTACTAATATTATAAACGTGAAAGTTTGTGAGTATGTATGGATGTTTGTTACTCTTTCACGCAAAAACTACTGAACGGTGTTTGATATGATTGTACAGTAATATAGCTTATACATTAGAATAACATATAGGCTATAATTCAAAAAGATATTATGTAAATTGGGCGAACTGTAATGTTAAATGTAGAGTAAGTGTGATACAGACGAAGTTGCGCAGGTACGCTAGTATATCTATATATATATATAACTTAAAGGTGACTGACATAGTGATCTATCAACGCACAGCCCAAACCACTGGACGGATTGGGCTGAAATTTGGCATGCAGGTAGATGTCATGATGTAGGCATCCGCTAACAATTCTACCCCCAAGGGGATAAAATAGGGGATGAAAGTTTGTATGAAACTGTCAATTTTAAAACGATCGGGCTGAGTCTTTGCATGCATAAATCTACTATGACGTAGGCATCCCCTAAGAAAGGATTTTGATAAATTCCAACCCTAAGGGGATAAATTAACGCGAGCGAAGCCGCGGGCAAAAACTAGTCTTTATATATAAAAATTACGTGTCACGTTGTTTGTCCACGATGGACTCCTAAACTATTAAACCGATTGCAAATTTGATTTGCACATTCAACTTGAAAGATAGGATAGCTTACATCTCAATTTGTAGTCGTAATAATATTTTATTCAAGAACCTCAGCCACAGCAACGCGTGGCCGGGTCTAAATAGCTAGTATAAATATATGTAGTAATATATTGAGGGGAGGTGATTATTAGTTAAATCAAGTGAACCATGATTCATTGTAAGATTATAACAAAATAGCTGTTATCACTTAGTTTCCGGTTGTGCGCACATTATCAAGCTATGACGTCACGCGGGCAGTTCCGGTACATTGACGGATAGCTACGGGTTTTGGGTCTTGAATATACATATGTACATTTAGATTAGTCTTATTTTTATTACACTAGCCTCTACACTAGAAAAAAAATCCTGGACACTTAAATTAATATTCCAATAAAAAATAGGGGTTGATGGTGGAGAAGGATGAAAATTTTAAGTTGAATGCTAAATCATAAAAAAATAAATAAAATTGACAAAAAAAATAAGGGTGTGTCACCCTTATTGAGGAGTATGAAAAATATATGTTGACCGATTGACAGACCTACTCGATACGCACACAAAACTTCATAAAAATCGATAAAGGTGTTTAGTAGTGTGGTAACGAAACACAGCAACACGAGAATTTTATATCTTACTAATATCTTTATGGATGTTTGTTACTCTTTCAAGCATAAACTACTGAACGGACTTTGATGAAACTACAGTAATATAGCTTATACATCAGAATAACATATAGGTTATAAATTTCCCGCTAGAGAAACCGCGTACACAAAACTTAGCTAGTATTAGATAATATAAAATACTAGCTGTTACCCGCAACTTCATCCGCGTGGATTGTAACTTTCATTTTCCAAATAAAAGTAGCCTAAGTTACTCCTTATTACATCAGCTACCTGCCAATAAAGGTCCCGTCAAAATCGGTCCAGCCATTTCAGAGATTAGCCGGAACAAGCAGACAGACAGACAAAAATTGTAAAAAATGTTATTTTGGTGTACGTACCGTATTTATATTCATATGCATGTAGTAAAAAACGGTTATTTCAATATTACAAACAAACACTCCAATTTTATTTACATGTAGGTAGGTATTATACATCTAGTATAGATTTCCCGCCCTTAAGGCATAACAATAAATTAAAAACAGATCAAAAGGCTTGACAAATCAAATGACTAAACTCACATGACTTAATTGAGTCATAATTGTGTATCGCGTAACATTCAAAGACTCAAAAT